TACTGGAGGATATTGACGAATGAAAGTACGTGCATCCGTTCACAAAATATGTGAACATTGTAGACTTGTTTGAAGACGAAGAAAAGTGATGATAATATGTTCTAATCCAAAACATAAACAAAGACAAGGGTAATTCATTTGATGAATTAGTGATTACTAATTCATCATTTATTTAATTATTTTCATACTACTTGCAATTCAATAAACCATTCTAGCAAATGAGATTTACAGAATGAAATGATAGAGAAAAGAATATTGATTGTATTGAATGGGGAATGTGGGTTCTTTTTCAAACATTCCCCAGCAGAGAATGGTATGCAGGACTTCTGGGCACCACACGCTGCACTGCGGCTACAGGTCTTTGCTCAACCACTGCCTGTTCCGCTATTTTCCGGAGTGAGGCTCCGCTTCATGAACTCTCAATTAAAAAATCGCACTGAGTGATCGACTTGTCGGAGAGATCCCTTGGAGGGGGCTCTACAAACATCCTGGGGGGCTTCAGCATGCATTCGAATATTCTGTTTCGCCATTTTCCAGAGTGAGGCTCCGCTCCACCGACTCTCAATTCGGAACGCACAAAAAAAAAAAAAAAAAAAAAAAAAAAAAAAAAAAAAAAAAAAAAAGTCAGAGAGATCTCTTTGCATCGGGGGGCATGCATGTGACGTGCGAGCGTGCGTACCTGAACGAACTCCTGAATGCCCCTTTTTCTTCCCCCCACCTACCAGTCTCTTTCGTTTCTCCTGTTATAACCAAGTGGCAGCTAAGGATGCATGGGTTTGATGGCCACCAGGGCCCCTCGACTTCGAAGCATTTTTTTTTGTATTCCAGAATGTCAGGACTTTTGCTTTCGGATGTACTCTAATTTCAATTTGTACATGGGACGCTGGACCCGTTTTCCAGCAGGTGATGCTCCCCACCAATAGATGGAGCCTCTCCCCAGGTGCTATGTGTCTGCTCTTATAGCACCACTAACACCGGTGGGGGTGTTTTTCCTTTCAAAAAAACAAAAAGAAAAAAAAAAGGACTTTTTCTTTCCTTCTTGTAAATTTAATGTAAGAGTACTAAGAACTATGAGCGCTTCAATAGGCGCGCTGGAATTTGGTCAGACAGTCGGGAATTTTCTGAAATTTGCGGGCGCACTTTTGGGTGACACCCCCAAAAGTGGCTCTTCTGGAGAAATAGGAATCGACATAAGAACTCTCGCGTTTTCTCTTCTGTGCTCAGAATTTGCATTTGAGATAGCTTTAGGAATTAGGCACGTCCTCAGTCGGACACGGCATAACTGTTTGGTGCCTTTGTGGTTTGCATCAGCGCCATGCATGCAACCTTCCCCCGTCTCCCGCTGCACCTTGAACCATCTCCCATTCTTCCTCCTTCGCGCCTTCTTTCTCTACCCGTGGCTGTTTTCCTTCTCCTTCGTTCACGCTCTTTCTTCTGCTAGCCTCAACCGAATCTTGGTCTTGCTTCACGCTCTTTCTTGGTCTACCCCTTCCCCTAAGCTCTCGAGAAATCCGTCTGTAGCTCGTAAGCAGACTCTGATCCTCTCACGACTACCATCTGATTGGCTGTGAAGTGACTCTCTCGGATCGATATGGCTCTCCCATGGCGACTCTCCCTTCCCCTACTTCTCTCCCATTCGTCTACCCCTTCTCTTCTCCTCCCATCTATCCCACCCCCTTCTTCCCACAACTATAAACCCACAAGCGCATCTGGAAATCTCTCTCTCAACAATCCATCAGCCAGCTGTAGTAGTGGCTAGATGAGGTGATGATCAGCTTTCAGATGATCCTGACGAGTTAGCTGCAGCTTTGCGGGATTGAGTGCTGGATCGCTGCGACGGACCGCACGATCCGGGCGAATTCGCATAGTAGTCGAGTGGACGGGGTGACGATCGCTGGATCTAAGTGCTGGACATGTGGCGGCCGGGACCGTCAGTGTTCGAGCAAGGGCAGAGAAGTTGATTGGTTGGATGGCCTGGGGCGATAGTTCGAGAGCAGAACTTGACGGTTGTGTGCCTTGTTTCTTTTCTTTGTGAGATTCTCTTGTGAGTTACATTTTGGAAGCTATGTGCATGG